CAGGGAAATAGCACCATAAGCGTTGCTTTCCTTTCCTTTTTTTTTTTTTTTCTAAAAAGCTTTGACTAAAGTGGTTTCTTTTTTGAAAACTGTAGACATAATATACTGCAATGATAAAGAATTTGTATCCCATTTAGGGGTAGTATATTTTATTTTATTATTTCTTTGAAGAACACAGGAAAAGATGAGTCCTCTGTCCTCTGACTATCCACTCACAGTTCAATTATCCTTCCTTCCATGTACCTTTCCATTGATCCTTTAATCCCTTTCTGCTGGTATATAGCATTCTCTTATTTGACAGCGTCATTATCCAAATTATCTTTCTTAATAACCCCCAATCCCAAAGACCTTATCCAGATTTTATGTATTTTTAGGAATTTACTAGATAATGTGTGTACTTACCAAAGAAAGAGAAACAGAGATACAAGAGGAGAGAGAAAGCACCTCTCTATAGAGCATGGTCACAGTGCAATCCCTTGCCACCCTGCTGGGATTTGAGGTACGCATGCATATTCACCCAGTGTGTGTTTCAAGCCAAGAGGCTGGGATTCTAATCCAGCCATTTAGGATCTGGCTACCTTAACCACTATGTCACAGAAATGGCCCAACTTTATCCAGATTTAAGTGTGGATTATTTGGTATGTTTTCCACCAAGGAAATGTTTTTGTTTTAGTTGTCTATAAGTCACTGTAAGCCTTACAACTAGTACTTTAAGATTTTCTAACTTAAAACATGTTTAACCTATACCAAATGGAAGAACTCCCTGAGTTACTAGCTAAAATCCATTTTCATTTTACTTTGAGCTCTTTAATAAAAATCAGTTTTTGCCCATGCATACAATGATTGGCAATAGTTCATCAGCTTTCTAGGACTTACTCAGATAACCCAAGGGCAATGCCTCTTCCTGTCATATTCTGATAAGGGTCCGTTTCAGACCATCATAATCTGGACATTCTTCACAGCCTACTAGAATTCTGATCAGCTGGCTGAACAGAAATTGTCAAGGGTTTTACCACTAACTTCTCTCAGTAGATAGCTTGTCAAACCTTTCTTCTACAGAAGTGAGAATGTGGAAATTTTGCTCACTTGAATGATGAGAGGGCAATGTTTTCAGGACTGGAAGGGCTACCCATACCTAGCATTGGTACACGAATAAAATGAAAACAGTATCCAATATTAAGTACATATTTCCTATTGTCTATACTATAGATGCTATCACTAATGTAATCAATTCAAGTGACACAAATAGTATACCAAGTTATGAATTTTATACCTAATACTTTTTAAGTACTCTAATAATATATATTTTGAATTTCTGGAAGTTAAATATATTAAAAGAGAATTTTTCTGGCCAGTGTGATGTGAGTTGACTAACAGTAGTGAATATACCAGTGAATAAAGTGATTAATGTAGCCCTGTTCTTGTTCAAAGGTGTATTACCATTCCGTAGTATAGCATTCCCATATACTATGCCAAATTAAAAAGGGAGATTATGTATATTTCATATCACGTAGTTTCAGTATTTTTGTATCAAAATTTTATGCTTGAGCTAAAGGATTTTATTTTCAGTTATTTCTAACATCTCGTTTACATGTGAAAACGAGTCATCCACAGAACACAGTGTGAATTCGCAAAAAGAACCAAGTAGACTTTACTCTTTAAATGAGTACAATATGAGTTGCTTAGGATACGCTGTTCATAGTTACACAGGCAATGTTTCTTGAAATGAGTGTCTTATTAGGAGGGGCTAGGGGAGTTGGTTTGAGAGGTTTATCTCTCTTTATAAAGTAAGCTTTCATTCTTTCATTTCTGTTGAAGGAAGATAGACTGTGAACAATCTTCACAGCATGAAGCCTAATTGTTTTCCATTCACACGCATCTACAGTCTTTATGTCGTCTGTAAGTTGTCCCTGTACTGGGCACTTTCCTGTTGGGAAATGTTAAGTGCTCCTGAGGGAAAATACACAGCCTACATTTTGAGAAATAAATCTACAACATTAGTTTTTGAAGACTAGAAGAGGCTTATTAGTATTCTTGGTATTTGATATAAAAGGACACAAATTCCTAAGTTATTCATGTTACATATTTACACAAATATGAGTTTTAGGTGAATTAATTATCTTCATATTTACTGACCTTTGCTTTGGCATTTGCCTTAGTCTAACACATACACCTTAATAAAGATTTGCTTTTGTGTTTTCTTCCTTTTTTAATGACTTTTCTTCTTGGTGCTCTGTAGTGGTTTGATAGAATAGAGAGGACTCTATAAAAATTATTTTAAAAAATCTAGTTGTAAGTCAGAATTCTGAAAGATCTTTTGAAAGCAATAACCTACAGGACATAATTGACATTCAAAAACTAAAATCTGATCTACCTCTAGCAATGAAATTATATTACTTTGAAAGGATTGCTATAATAAATCTACCTAAGGGTGCTAAAAATACAGTTATTAAAGTGACCAAGAAAATATTAATATACTAACAGTACATGTTTTATTCTACTTCCTTACGACCTCAAGATACATTAGTAGTAAAATATATCCCTAGGCTAGATTCCTGAATGAGTTGACATGCTGTATAAAATTAGTAGACACAGAAAAATTAAATTTTGAAAGTTTCAAATACAAAACTTCAGTGCTTCTCTTCCATGAATTACTAGTCCCTATTATTACTCTTTTTTTTTTTTTTTTTTGGAGGGGTGAGGGGAGATCTCTTTTGTTTTTTAAAACATCAATTTCTTTCCCTTCTTTTCTGATCATTCTTGTTCACATTCCTTCCCTAAATAGTCTCCCTTTTTGGTGTCTTTTTTTGGTATCACTAGGGTCTTTATATTCTTTTCTTTTTTCCAATAACTTGTTTCCTATCCACTACTTGCCACATATAAGATGTTAATCTGTCAGGAAATGTACTAACTAGAGTAATACATCTGTACCGTTCTGTTGCTTTTATCTTAGAGACTCCAAAATTGATTAGATCAGCACCTGGACCCCACACCTAACATCCTTCAGGAAGATAGTTGCATGTATTTGTGAGCTTTAACATGCTCATCTTTGTAGGCAAGCTTTGTCCTTTGTTTTTGCTTTTTTCTTTAGTGCCTTAATACACCCTGCTCTCTCTTCCTGGAATAAACTATCCCTTGCATTCCTGACCCACTTATTTGTGAGTATCATATCCATCATCATTCAGTTCAAGTGCCACTTGCTCTATGAAAGGTTCGGTTTCTACAATGCCCTACAGTCATTCTAAAACTAAGTTGTACAGTATATCTATTGTATTATAACTATTGATTTGTTTATGCATCATATTTTTTATAACATGAAATATGTATTGATATTTCTCTCAGTATCTTATACAATTTTTAGAATTCTGTTGGTAACAAATCAATGTGTTTTGAATGGATTAGTAAGAGAATGGCAGAAGTCCTGCTATCCCTCAGATAGAAGGAGAGTAAGAAGGATTAACAGCACTGCTTATAAACAGTCACATTTGGGTGAATTCAATAATTCCTATTCAATTTTAATTCAATTGAATTCCTAATTAAATGTAAACTTTATCCAATAATGACAAGAATTTTATAGTAACACTTTTTTTTCTTTAAAGATTTTTGCTATAGGGCATGTGCACTCATTGGAGAGACAGAGAGAGACAGAAAATGAGAAATCATTCCCCAGGGGGATGGCCACACTGTAATCCCTTCTCCTCCATTCTTCTCTCTGGATCTTGGGCATGCATGCACACATGCCCAGCATGAGTTTTAAGCCCTTGGTCCTGTTCCACTATGTGGGAGTCTAGCAATGTAACCATTATGTCATCTGCTGGTCCCTAGAGTAATATTAATATATAATATATAATAATACATACTTTCAATGAAGGCTACATTCACTTATTATTTTGCATTTAATGCATCTGGTCCCCAAATTGATATGTGTGTGTAGAAATATCTTTTCTTTTACTGTAGTTTTTATTCTGTGTTTAATTTATAATCAAAATAAAAATTTTACTCAATATCATAATTAACTTTAAACCATGTTTTAACAAAATTAGTTTATTTGTTTTTTCTTTTTTTGGAGAAGTTTTTAGCTATAGGGTGTGTGCGCACGCCAGAAAGACAGAGAGAGACTGAGAGACAGAAAGTGAGAAATCACCCTGCAGGGGGGATGGCCACGCCACAATCCCTTCTCCTCCATTCTCCTCTCGGGATCTTGGGCACACATGCACATGTGCCCGGCGTGAGTTTAAGCCACCGGGTCCGGGACGCGAACCGCGGTTGACTACATGGGAGTCCCATGTAGACATAGCCATTACACTAACTGCTAGTCCTAAAATGAGTTCTTTTTTTAAAGTGGCTTTTACTTTCTACATAAACCAAATTGGAATTTTGAGTTTATATTTGCCTTCTTAAATATGTATAATTACAAGATGAATTTTTATTTTCATTTTGTAATTAATTAGGCCTGCTAAATTTTGACACAGAAGTTGAGTCAGGAAGGCATTTAAATAAAACATTTAAAAGTGGAGCTAGCAGGTGGTATAGTGGTTAAGGTGCTGGAATTCCACATGGTCAACTTTGGCTCGAGTCCTGGACCCAGCAGCTTAAAACTCATGCTGACCATGTGTGCATGCATATTCAAAATCCCAAGGGGAGAATGGAGAAGGGACTGCAATGTGGTCATCTCCCCCTTGGGGGTGATTTCTCATGTTCTCTCATTGTGCTTCTGGCAAGCAGACACACCCTATAGTAAAAATCTAAAAAAAAAAAAAAAAAAAAAAAGAAAAAAAAAAAAACTTGCCAGTAAATCAGCACTGAGCAAAGGTGGAGTTATACTCATAGTTTCCCCCCCACAACCATAATGTGGATTACCATTTGCCATAGCAGACACTGACCATAATGTAAACAGAAAATGGCTCTTGGCCCTAATGCCTGTGTAGATATTCCTCCAGGGTAGTTACATGCTTGGTCTCTGTGTAGGAAGGAGTCTTGGAAAAAAAATCAAAGTTTACCTTCTTTGTCCTTCTGGGCATTTACATGTGAGAGGAGGTTTTCGTTGACTTGCACACAGTACACCTCTCGGGTCTGGACGCCTCCTCCACAGAGGGCCGTCTGGTTTCCACGTCTCTTGTCTTGCTGACTGAGCAAGGGATCCACCCGGCACTCTGTCCACTCTGTAGTTCTCCAGCCATACCTAAGAAAGAAAATGCCAGCAGGGGCAGTCATATTCATTGAATGAAACTCTTCCCTAATTCTCTCATATATATTTTTGCCTTAGTAAATTAGTTTAATTTTTTTTTTCTTCTAGCATCCATCATAAACTACATCTATGGGGCAGATTCGGTTTGAAGCCCATCTTTATCCTCATCAGTGCTCCATTTATAGAGGGGTTAAATTTAGGGTGAACTGTTTTATTGCAACTACAGGAATTGCTTATAAATATTTTATGAAGAGAACATAATGCTGAAAACATGACATTTTATGTTCAATTAAGCTGAACCCAGGCTTGCCCTCTCTGGATGCTTACAAACAAAAAAGGATTGAATTTGAGAATGGAAATTGTGATGATGAACTCAAATGTTTGTTTCATCTTTTATAAAATGAATGAAAATTGCTTTTTCATACTGGAGTAAAATTACCATTGTGTTTTAGGAGTAAAAACATAGCAGAACTATTCAGAGCCTTCTCTCTTTTTCTTTTTAAGAATAAAAATTTTTTCTGCAGTACCGAGCATCCCTGATGAGTGCTGATAAATGATGAAAAGAGCTGACGTGTCTAATCAGAGAAGTACAAGAAAGACAATCTACGGCACTCAGTTAAAGCTCCAATCAAGATTATGGTGTGAAAGAAACGTCGGGGATTGTCAGTCAAACCCGTGCTTAAAGCAGATAGCCAGGGAACCATTTCCCAATGCCACTGAAGATAGAAAGTGATGGCATTTCTCCACCTCAAGGAAAATGGATATTCTAAAAGCACAATGAAGATGACTCATGTGGCACTTTGTGGCACTTTAACTAAGATGCTTCCTTGATAATCAGATAAACAGCCAACATAAGTACAAATGGATGCACTAATGTCCGTCTCAATTAGACAGAAAGGTTAAATGGACTCTCAGATGTCTGATCTAGGTACTCTGTTAATGGTTAAGCTGCATGACAGGAAAGCTGAGTTTCATACATTTATTTAAGTTTTGTAAGTGGGAATTCCTGAGTTGTAGGGTCAAGTCATCAAGGAGTAACACTTTTGAATTTGTTTATAAAGAAAGGGCAGCACTTAAGTCAGTCCTAGAAACACGGTAATTGATGCCTGGTTGGATGACTAGGTTAGGAAGGGTCCAAGGAGCAAACCAAAACCAAATCAGTCATTTATGAGGGGACTGCACATGGTGGTAGGGGGAGCACAATCATTTTATTTATTTTTAGAATGGACCACGAATTTAGGTCATCTGCTGAGTCCTGTGTAAGGAATCAACTTTCAATGCCAATTGATTATACATTCTAAAAAATTGCTACCCTCACAAAAGAGGAAGGAGAAAGAAACTCAAAGATGTATAAATTTGTTTTGTTAATGATGTTCAGGTATATTCTCAGATATGAGAGAATAATGAATAATGAGCCTTCCCTGTCACAAAAATAGAAGAAATTCATAACAGAAAACACCAGAAATCTTGGCAACTTTGTTGAGTCCAGTGTGCAGAGAGGAGCCACAGAAGTCAATGGAATAGGCAGAGATGTTAGGAAGAAAATTCTCTGTGGTGTTTTTATTCTTTTGCTATATTGAAGGATAATGGGTGATTCTAAAGTGCTGCAGAATTGAAGATATTTTATAAATCATCACTATTTTTGTCATAATTGTTAATAGTAATACTAGTAGTAATAATTTGCCTTCTCACTGGTTCATGAAGTTCAGGCTGAATGCACTTCAAACGTATGGAATATTCCATAGAAACTCTCAATAAAGTTCAGGCATTTCTATTGAGAAATGAAGACTCTTAAGTTGTTTTATATTAAAATGAAGCTGGAATATTGTTATTTTATAAATTATCACTATTTTTGTCATAATTGTTAATAGTAATACTAGTAGTAATAATTTGCCTTCTCACTGGTTCATGAAGTTCAGGCTGAATGCACTTCAAACGTATGGAATATTCCATAGAAACTCTCAATAAAGTTCAGGCATTTCTATTGAGAAATGAAGACTCTTAAGTTGTTTTATATTAAAATGAAGCTGGAATATTGTTATTTTATAAATTATCACTATTTTTGTCATAATTGTTAATAGTAATACTAGTAGTAATAATTTGCCTTCTCACTGGTTCATGAAGTTCAGGCTGAATGCACTTCAAACGTATGGAATATTCCATAGAAACTCTCAATAAAGTTCAGGCATTTCTATTGAGAAATGAAGACTCTTAAGTTGTTTTATATTAAAATGAAGCTGGAATATTGTTATTTTATAAATTATCACTATTTTTGTCATAATTGTTAATAGTAATACTAGTAGTAATAATTTGCCTTCTCACTGGTTCATGAAGTTCAGGCTGAATGCACTTCAAACGTATGGAATATTCCATAGAAACTCTCAATAAAGTTCAGGCATTTCTATTGAGAAATGAAGACTCTTAAGTTGTTTTATATTAAAATGAAGCTGGAATATTGTTATTTTATAAATTATCACTATTTTTGTCATAATTGTTAATAGTAATACTAGTAGTAATAATTTGCCTTCTCACTGGTTCATGAAGTTCAGGCTGAATGCACTTCAAACGTATGGAATATTCCATAGAAACTCTCAATAAAGTTCAGGCATTTCTATTGAGAAATGAAGACTCTTAAGTTGTTTTATATTAAAATGAAGCTGGAATATTGTTATTTTATAAATTATCACTATTTTTGTCATAATTGTTAATAGTAATACTAGTAGTAATAATTTGCCTTCTCACTGGTTCATGAAGTTCAGGCTGAATGCACTTCAAACGTATGGAATATTCCATAGAAACTCTCAATAAAGTTCAGGCATTTCTATTGAGAAATGAAGACTCTTAAGTTGTTTTATATTAAAATGAAGCTGGAATATTGTTATTTTATAAATTATCACTATTTTTGTCATAATTGTTAATAGTAATACTAGTAGTAATAATTTGCCTTCTCACTGGTTCATGAAGTTCAGGCTGAATGCACTTCAAACGTATGGAATATTCCATAGAAACTCTCAATAAAGTTCAGGCATTTCTATTGAGAAATGAAGACTCTTAAGTTGTTTTATATTAAAATGAAGCTGGAATATTGTTATTTTATAAATTATCACTATTTTTGTCATAATTGTTAATAGTAATACTAGTAGTAATAATTTGCCTTCTCACTGGTTCATGAAGTTCAGGCTGAATGCACTTCAAACGTATGGAATATTCCATAGAAACTCTCAATAAAGTTCAGGCATTTCTATTGAGAAATGAAGACTCTTAAGTTGTTTTATATTAAAATGAAGCTGGAATATTGTTATTTTATAAATTATCACTATTTTTGTCATAATTGTTAATAGTAATACTAGTAGTAATAATTTGCCTTCTCACTGGTTCATGAAGTTCAGGCTGAATGCACTTCAAACGTATGGAATATTCCATAGAAACTCTCAATAAAGTTCAGGCATTTCTATTGAGAAATGAAGACTCTTAAGTTGTTTTATATTAAAATGAAGCTGGAATATTGTTATTTTATAAATTATCACTATTTTTGTCATAATTGTTAATAGTAATACTAGTAGTAATAATTTGCCTTCTCACTGGTTCATGAAGTTCAGGCTGAATGCACTTCAAACGTATGGAATATTCCATAGAAACTCTCAATAAAGTTCAGGCATTTCTATTGAGAAATGAAGACTCTTAAGTTGTTTTATATTAAAATGAAGCTGGAATATTGTTATTTTATAAATTATCACTATTTTTGTCATAATTGTTAATAGTAATACTAGTAGTAATAATTTGCCTTCTCACTGGTTCATGAAGTTCAGGCTGAATGCACTTCAAACGTATGGAATATTCCATAGAAACTCTCAATAAAGTTCAGGCATTTCTATTGAGAAATGAAGACTCTTAAGTTGTTTTATATTAAAATGAAGCTGGAATATTGTTATTTCTAAGATTATTCATGATGTCTTGAACACAACCTTTTTAAGGACAGAAAGACTATAACCAAAGTAATATCACCCAATATTTCAAAACTAGTCTTATTTTACCTGGATTCAATAAATATTTATTGGGAACTTATTATATGCCAAGTCCTAGGATGACAGCAAAAACAAAAAAATAAGCAACAAAAAAACTTTAACAAAATCACTATTCTTATCCTCATGGAACATAAAGTCTCATTATTTTGATGTAGCACTCTACTCAACTGAGCAGAATTTATTGTATACAGTAATGAACTTTGATAGGTAACAGGAACCTATGTCTTTAAAGTTTATTTTATGTTATAGAGGGAGCTTGGCAGATTATGGCCCAAGGATCCAATCAATCTGTCACATGATTTTGTCAGTAAAGTTTTATTGGAATGTACTCACATTCATTTGTTTACATATTGTCTACAGCTTCTGTGGTAAATCATTACAGCAGAGACAGATGGATGGCCCACAAAGTCAAGAGTACTTACTACCTGTTGCTATTATAGAAAGTACATAAACACAGAATTGCTGCTAAAAACCTAATCTTTGTGGAAATGTGGAAATACACTGTGTTAAAGACACTTCCATTGTGTAATGCTAGATTTTAAAAATTGTTTTTGTAAAGAGATATTTCATTCTTCCATTTAGATTGTGTAAACCCACCATTTCCCAACATTTTTCAGCTGACCTTAAACAGATAAAAGGACATGAAATTTGGACAGACACTGCATCTGCCTTCATTTACTCACATGGCACAGGGGGCAAGTCCATCTCCTTGAGACACGCAAGGCTCTTTTTCCTCAAGTTCTGGACACTCCTTTTCACTGCCAATAGGAAACTGCCTGATCGCCCGTGTCCTCACACGTGTGCCCGTAGGAGATGCCATATCATGGCATGTTTTTGAGCATGGGCTCCATTCTGACCACTCAGACACCTGACACTCTTTGGCGATCACACAGGACTGGAAGGTCATTGGTAGCTTCTCTTGCTGGCAAAAGCTGCAAAAGAGCATTGATATTCTCATCACAGACTCACAGGCAGCTATGAACATTGTCTTCTACACTCCAGAGTAAAATCAGCTTGGACATTTTTATTTCTCCTTGGAGATGTGATTTCAATTTCATTGAAAATATATCAACATTTACGATGTGCAAACGCAGTTAGACTCAAAGCTAACATTTGCATTTCCTCCTATTTTGTAAGAGTTGTTAAACCATTTATAGGAAACAGAAAGTAGAGGGGATTAAGCAAAATTAGCTATAGCTAAGTTTACCATATTGTTCATTTTACTCATTCCAGATTTGTTTTAATTTAGAAAATGAGAAACCCAGAACTGTTAGCATATGCTAATTCCCATTCTGTCTAGTGATTCAAGTAAACATGTCTGGCTAACTTTATGCAATATTGTTTTGAATAGAAAAAGTAATTTAATATGTGCCTTAACATTACTCTTACTATAATATAAAATGTTAGCTGTGACTTATAATTATGATATATGTTTATTCAAATACATGAATTTTCCCATTCATATTTTAATACACATTATACAAATGGGCATTTTAATTAAATGCATAAGTATTACAAATATTCATCTATTCACCTGTATACTGTGGAGAACTCCTCTAAATATATCTCTGACCAGTAAAGTATTTATGTTCAAACTCTATTTACTCCTACTCAAATTAGAAGGATGTTGTATTCTAAACTATAATGTTTACATGTGAATATGAACATGTTATGAATGTCAACCTGCAAGGGCACATGCTCTTGGAGCAGTTTTCCTGGAATTGGATAGACTTACATTGATTCTTAGTTGAACTCAACCATTCATACTATTGTTTATTGTTTATTCCATTCTCAATAAACAATAGTATGTATATATATATGTGTGTGTGTGTATATATATCAATATACACACACATACACATACACACTTATATAATACACAACATGAAGAGCCATCTGGTCCAATGCAAAAATGCACTGAAAATTCTTTCTCATTATTCAGGTGCTATATTTAGCAATGGTAGTCAACCATAGAGAGAGGCAGATCTATTTTAATGTAAGAATTCACATTCAATCTTCTTAGTCCTACTGGCATATATATGAAAATTGCATTCCTAGGAGACAATTAGAACTCAACGCATCAAAGTCAATTTGTCTGTGTTGATAGGTCTAGGAAAAAGATGATCTGACAGTGGTAAAAGGGATCTGGGAGTCAGTTCTGTTTTCCCTGTAACAACAGAGAGGAATAAAATTCCATTTATTTTTTCATTCTTTTTTTTTTTTTTTCAGATAGATTTTTGCTATAGGCCACATGTGTTTGTCAGAGAGACAATGTAAGAAATCACTCACCAGGGGCAGGGATGGGGAGGGAAGGCCATGCTGCAATCCCTTCTCCTCCATTCTCACCTCAAGATTTTGGGCACACATGCACACATGCCTGGCCTCAGTTTCAAGCCACTGGATCTGGGACTCAAACCATGGCTGACCACAATGGGAGTGCCTTAAACACTATGACACCTGCTCGCCCTAAAATCCCATTTCTACTTGGACATGTATTGAGTTTTAATGATACATTGGGTACAATGTTAACTGTGGAGCAAAACCTCTGTGATGAGCAATTATTGCTCCCATACTTGGGAGTTTATCTATGAAAAATCAGACAAAATAGTGATGAAAGGAAACTCTATGATGCATCTCTTATAAAATTCTACATATATGTCTGCTAAATTACCTTTCTTGAAATTTTTCATATACAAATGTATATGTTCACCCTCTAATATTTATCAAGTGCATATTCTATGTTCAGGCAAATAATTAACAGTCCTTTTTAACCTTTTCTAGAGAATGTCACTATTGGCTAACTGCCTCCAGTTATAGTTACTCTGGTAACCTCACGGAAGTTGGAATGTCAACTATGTTACTAAATCATATTATATGTAATAAAATTACTCCTTTAGATAAATAGCACCTGCACTGGGAAAACCATGAATAACCAGTAGGTGGTCACAGCTCTGGGCTCCCCTACATGTGGCAACTCTTGGAACAGAGCTCATCACTTATAAAGGTATCACCTGTGGGACATGAAGCTTTTAAACCACTGAACATACCTGACTTGGAACTTGTGTTCTTCAATCTGAGCCATGCTGAATAGATTTCTAGAGAATTTCCAGCAGGTGAAAACTCTGTGGTAACTACAATGATGATAGTTCTGGTTCCTATAATATTTCCTTCTAAGATGACTGACACCAAGTTTGATTTATGGTAGTCTGTGAGTCTCATGTCTTGTGAATTTAAATGTTTGGTAGTGTTAAAAGCTAAACTCACTCAATATTCTCAATACTTATTTAATGTAGGCATCACTATTAGTTCCATTTCAAATGGAAACAGCATCCTGGAGGTTATAGAATTTGTTCAAGATCAGGTAACTATTAAATAGTATAGTGGAATTTGAACTTAAGAGTGTCTAAAAGCAAAGCCCATTCTCTTAAACACTCTGCCCTACTTCTCAGTTTACACTGGCTGTAAATCTCAATTTATTAGAGCAACTGCTGTAGTTGGGGACGATGTCGAAGTTACTGACATATCATGAATCAACTGACATCCCTGTTTCACACACTTAGGTTTTGTATTGTCTATGCACTCTGCAAATGTGCTGCCTGTCTAAGCAATTATATGAAATCCAGGGCAAACACATGTTCCTAATAAATGTTAACACAGGTCCTACATATGAGAAAGTAGCAATAAACACAATAATAATGATAAAGTATATGCTTATATAAATTCTCATGTATGTGGGATATAACACACACACACACACACGTGAGAAAGTCTTCAAAAAGTGTATAGAAAATGCATATTACGGGGCAAGCCAGTATGTGGTGGTTAAGGCAGCTGAATCCCACATGGCTGATGCTGCGGTTCATCTCAGACCTGGTAGCTTGAAAATCATAATGAGCTTGTGTGCATAAGTGCCCAAAATCTTGAGAGGAGGGACAAATGGAGAAGAAATTGCAGCATGACCATTCCCTATGGTGGGGGTTGGGGATTTCTCATATTTCCCTTCTCCTCCCATCTCTCTCTCTAGTGAACACATGTGCTCTCAGGAAAATTATGGGAAAAAAAAGAAAATGACATTATGAAAAAACTACAAGGATTGCAATTTTTTGGTACCAAAATAAACTCATCCTTTAATTCTATTTTTCTGTGAACTTTTTAAATCCACTATTTATATAAAATGTAATGTTACAATTTTCTAATACCGCGAGCCTATCAACAAACATGTATTAATTAACTCCATTTAATACTGGGTTTCAGCTACACAAAGACAGATTACAGTAATTAAGCTGAAAGCATATAATTGTGCTAGGGGAGGCACAGAAGGTAACATAGAATAGTAGGTTACTATGGTGAATTTGAAACTACATATTAGAATTTGTCAGGTTGAGATGAAGGTATTTAATGGACTTATGAGATAAAATAGCTTTTTTAGGTTATTTGTTTATTTGTTGGGAGGGTAAAATAGATTTTTTTCCCTTGGTTTCAATATAGGAAATCTGTAACTAGAAGTGTACATAAGAATAAAAACTGAAGGGCTAGGTTAGGTGCCAGGTAGTTATATAGATTCAGAATAAAACTTCCTGAGGGTGAGAGTGCCATTGAAAGATTTAGAATAAAGAAAAAAAGATATGTGTAATTTTTGTAGATTCTGGTGGTGAGGTAAGAGAGTGGATTATTAGGATACAAGGCTGGAGACAAGAGAGATTTTCCTGATGAAGGTAATATTAATATTTATAATACACATGTTAAGTGCTTATTATGTGCCAGGTACTTTTTAAATCTTCACTTGTATAAATGCATTAAATTATTTAAACCTCACAATCATCTTACAAAGTTGATATTATCGTTATTTTGGCTCTATTGACGATGAAGCTAAGCACATGAGGTAAGAAGCTGTCCCGAGGTCTTGCTTAGTAAGTAGTCAGTCTAAGGGAGTCTGAACATGGAGTTATCCATCAATGAATGTCCACAATGACCCATGTACCATGTTGAGAGTTGGAGATTTGCCTAGAATATCTCATGTTATCCTAACCATGACTTTGTAAGGCACAGATTCAAACCCCTTACCTCTCTCTCCTCCCTTATTTTTTTTAATAGTTCCTTTCAGGTATTCTCTAAATGCATCATTTTTCAAAAACCATGTTTTAAATAATAAAAGTTCTATTTTTTAATACAATTTTTATTTTTACATCACATTTAATCACATATATCTTTTCAAGCATGATTACCATGCATATTAGTCAAGACAAAGACATTACCATATACATCATCAGCAAACAGCTTTTCATTTTTTGGTCAGTTAAGCATACTTTTTTTTTTTCCCCTTTTTCTTCCTGTTCCCTTCCTGCCTCCCTCAATTACCCACCCCCGTATTATCCTTATCATTAGTCTATTATCTATTGTTGCCCTCCCTGCTACGTTATCTTCCAAACTTTGACTTTCTGCCATAGAACGTAGATAATCAGTATATATTGAGTGGGAACATACAAAGTCTATTTTTCATAGTCTGGATTGCTTCACTGAGCATTAAGTCTTCCATATCCATCCACTTTGTATCAAATGTCAAGGTTTCATTGTTTTTTTATGACTGAGCAGTATTCCATAAAGTATACATGCCACATTTTTTTTCAATCCAATCATTTATTTTTGGACGTTTGGGTTGATTCCATGTCCTAGAAATTATAAAACTGAAATAAACATGGATGCACAAGTGTTTTTCCAACTGAAGGTTTTTCTATCCTTTGGGTAAATACCCAAAAGTAGAGTTACTGGGTCATATATTAGTTCTATTTGTAGGTTTCTAAGAAGTCTCCCTATTGTTTCTGAAAGTGGTTGTACTAATTTACATTCCCCCCTACAGTGTCAGAGAGTTCTCTTTTCACCACAGCTTCACCAGCACTTATCATTATTTATCTTAATTTTAGCCATTCTGACT